CGCAGCGCCAGCACCGCGCTGCTCTGCAGTGACGGCGACCCGCCGTCCACCGCCCGCACCGTCACGTTGTACTCCCACACCTGCTCCCGGTCCAGCTCGCTCGCTGTCACCACACGGTAGTAGTCCTCATAGGATTTCTCCAGCCGGAACGGGACGTCTTTGTCAATCGAGCAGCGCACCTGGCCATTCGCCCCCGAGTCGCCATCCTGCACCTTCAGCAGTGCAACAACTGTCCCCGGCTGTGCATCCTCGGAGATTGCACTCACAGCCGAGGATACTGTCAGTTCGGGCACGTTATCATTGACATCTGTCACAGAGATTGCGACTTTCGCCGTGTCAAAAAGCTCTCCTCCATCATGTGCCTGAACCTCAAGTTCGTGGAAGGAGATTTCCTCGAAATCCAAGTCGTCCTTAACAATTATTTCTCCGGTCTCAGAGTCGAGATTAAAAAGTTCTGAAGCACGGTCTGAAATTTTATGGAAGCTGTATTTCACTTGCCCATTCATCCCCTCGTCGGCGTCCGTAGCCATGACGGTGACAAGAGTGGAGCCCACGGGCACGTCCTCGGGCACTCGCACCGTGTACTCCGCCTGGCTGAACACGGGCGCGTTGTCGTTCGCGTCCAGCACCGTCACGCGGATCCGAGCCGTGCCCGTCCGTGCCGGATCGCCGCCGTCCATCGCCCTCAGCACCAGCTCGTGAAACGCCGCCTCCTCCCGGTCCAGCACCTTGGCCAGCACCAGCTCGGGACGCTGATCGCCGCCGGGGCCCGCCTGCACGGCCAGCGAGAAGTGCTCGTCGCCGCTCAGCTCATAGCTCTGCAGGGAATTCCGGCCCGAGTCCGGGTCATGAGCGTCTGGCAGGGGAAACCGCGACCCCGGCGCTGTCGTCTCCATAAATCTCAGGTCTTTTTCTGCCTGTCGAAAGTTGGGCGCGTTGTCGTTAATGTCCGTTATTTCCACTTGGATTCCATAAACCTGCATTTGTCCCTCCACTATCAGCTCACAGCGCAGCACGCATTTCTCCTCCAGTGGGCAAAGCTGCTCTCTGTCGATCCTCTCCGCCGTCGCTAAATGTCCCGTCTTCCCGTGGACAGCAAAATACTGCGTCCTGCCTTTGTTTAGGATGCGCACTCCGCGATCGCTGAGCTCCAGCAGGTGCAGCCCCAGGTCCTTGGCCACGTCGCCCACGAACGAGCCCTTGGGCATCTCCTCGGGCACCGAGTAGCGCAGCTGCCGCTGCTCTGCAGCGACGGCGACCCGCCGTCCGCCGCCCGCACCGTCACGTTGTACTCCCACACCTGCTCCCGGTCCAGCTCGCTCGCTGTCACCACACGGTAGTAGCTGGTAGTAGAGTGAGAGCTCTCCAGCCGGAACGGGACGTCTTTGTCGATCGAGCAGCGCACCTCGCCGTTCGCCCCCGAGTCACGGTCCTGCACGTACAAAAGGGCCACGACAGTTCCCGTGGGGGCGTCTTCCGAGATCTCGCTTAGTGCCGAACGCACGGAAATCTCGGGTGCGTTGTCGTTGATGTCTGTCACGGTGATCACAACTTTTGCTGAATCATAAAGAGCCCCACCATCATATGCCTGTAGATCCAGCTCATGGGCATCGCCTTCCTCGAAGTCCAGGCTTTGTCCCAGAGTGATTGCTCCCGTCTCAGAGTCCAGGTGGAATATCTGCGATGAACTCTTTTTGTTTTTAAATGAATATTTAACTTGCCCATTCAGTCCCTCATCCTCGTCGGTGGCCGTGACGGTGACAAGGGTGGAGCCCACGGGCACGTCCTCGGGCACTCGCACCGTGTACTCCGCCTGGCTGAACACGGGAGCATTGTCGTTCGCATCCACCACGGTCACGCGGATCCGAGCCGTGCCCGTCCGTGCCGGATCGCCGCCGTCCATCGCCCTCAGCACCAGCTCGTGAAACGCCGCCTCCTCCCGGTCCAGCGCCTTGGCCAGCACCAGCTCGGGACGCTGATCGCCGCCGGGGCCCGCCTGCACGGCCAGCGAGAAGTGCTCGTCGCCGCTCAGCTCGTAGCTCTGCAGGGAATTCCGGCCCGAGTCAGGATCATGAGCGTCTGGCAGGGGAAACCGCGACCCTGGGGCTGTCATCTCGCTCATTCTTTCTTCCAGCTCAATTTCCTTGAAGGTGGGTGTGTTGTCATTAATGTCCGTGATTTCTACTTCTATTCGGTAAACCTGCATCTGTCCCTCCACTATCAGTTCACAGCGCAGCACGCATTTCTCCACCAGCCGGCACAGCTGCTCTCTGTCGATCCTCTCCGCCGTCACTAAATGTCCCGTCTTCCCGTGCAGAGCGAAATACTGCGTCCTACCTTCGGTAACAACGCCAATGCCGCGGTCGCTGATCTCCGACAGCTGCAGCCCCAGGTCCTTGGCCACGTCGCCCACGAACGAGCCCTTGGGCATCTCCTCGGGCACCGAGTAGCGCAGCTGCCCCCACGCCGCCTGCCACGCCGCCAGCAGGACGGCCCCGAGCAGAGCTCGCTGCCGCCGGCCCCAGCGCCTCCCCGCCGCGCACATCTCCGCAGCGGCACCGCTCCACCTCTCTTCCACTCACCGCTCCCCGGTTCTGTCGCCGATTTTTCTGCCTCCGTATAGAACGGCTCTGCACTTCGGAGAGGCTCACAGACCGCTCGCAGAGGCTCTGATACCGAGCGATCGAGCGATCGAGCGGGTCCGCAGCGGGCGGGGCTGCAGCGCTCCGAGCTTCCTCCCGCTCCTCTCGGTCAACAGCGGCGCCCGCAGCCTCCGCCCGGCACTGCAGGCACCGAGCGCTGCCCGGCGCTGCCCGCCCTGCCCGGCACACGGACAGCTCGCGGGGAGGGGACAGTCGCCACCGAGACATCAGGTGGCAATCATGTGACATCCCGAGGCAATTTCGTTTCTTCGGATTTTCTCCATACGGTCTCGTATTTGATCCTCCAGGTGATCCCAACAGACAGGAATGCAGAGTCCACCCTTGGAATCAGTATTTGTCCCGCACTGAAAAAATCACTTGCTAATATCAAAATACGTTGTGTAATTATTTTTTTTAACGCTTAGAATACACTAAAGCTAATCCTATTAGGAAAATAAAACCTAAAATTGAGGCGTTGTTCTTGAATTACTGGCGTAGGGGCAGCAAAAAAATAGTTCCTCTGAGACACATCACGGGATAATCACACACACACTCCCGCCCTCAGAGAGGCAGAGCTCATTAACCCAAGAGGCAGATTTTCAGTCGGTACAGAACACGACCTAAGTTCTATTATTTACTCCATTTGCAGTGACTTAGAGAAGACAATTAAAGGCGGAAGAAGCTGGGGTCGATCCACTGAAACTGACAACTGCAACACCCCGATACCCGTAGAGCTGCAGAGGAGGTGCGTTGCTCTGCCACCCTCTCGGTGCTCTGCTTTTGCTCAGTAGAAGACCTTCCTTTTGGCACCGTGCAGGAGAAATCTCCCCTACTGCTCGAAAATCATTCTCCCCCACCCCGCGGTTTCAGGCTGAAAGCCACTTGACCACTCCGCACTGACTGTACTGCAACGGACCATGAGGCAGGAAGCACCTGCAGTGAACCTGGCCCGAACCATCTGCTTGGCTCCCTGCAAACTGCGGGGCAGATGGTAGGAAGAAACACAGGTAGATCTGCCTTGGCTACTGTCCCTACTCTGGGCACATCTTAGCAAAATCGATGGTGATTGCAGACAGATAACAATTGTCTTTAATGCGTGATTTCCTCTCTTAAGAATGCATATAAATTTAGGGTTTGTATAACTTAAACACATTTAAATTTAAACAATTAATTCGACAGTTTTAACGACGTGGAAAATTTTTTCCTTTTTGCCAGAAATCACAGTGCAAATGCTTGATGTTTCCATGAAAGTGTTCGCTTAATGACTCAACCTTGATTTGGGTTGAACAGCTTTTAAACTAAATAAAGGTGCAAAAATACTCTATTCGAGTGCACATTTCTTGTCATTTTTGGTATGTGTAGAGGCCTGTCCTGGTAAACAGGCAGATAAAAAAAACGGTTGTAAAAAGCGTCTGAGATTTAATTACTCGGTTTAGTCGAAACACCTGTCTTAGAGAGGAAGGGATTGGATAAAAGAGAGGCTCTGAAATAAAACTAGATGTGGCATATGGTTTGGGTTTGCTTCGCTTTGATTTTGAGGCCCTAACCTAGGCCTTCACCAGAAAGGGGGTGGTACAAAAAAAAAAAAAGACAGAAAGAACTGGAAAAAGTAACCAACCCCGCCTACCATTCCTGAAGAAAACTTATCCCCAAATATATTCGACACTCTTCCACCAGGGAGGAACAACCTGTAACTTCTCCTTTCATGTTGAAAACGCACACACCTCAGGAAAAAAAAACAGACTAAACAAAACAAATAACAAGCAAACACACGCCCCCTCCATCCAACAAACCCTGAGTGTTAATTCCTTTTTCATAATTCTTTTACGCAGAATCAGCGGATCTCTTTCTGCAGAGCAAGAATCCGTGTTCTCCATTATCCTGATAAATAACTGTTTAAAAAAATCTTTCAAAAATCATGACTGAATAATATATATCCATCCCATCAATGCCGCCCTTTCTGCAACAGGATTTCCTCAATTCATGGGACACTACACGGCAATTTTTGCAAACAGGATTAAAACCCGGGTTTGCGTCAGAAAAAATAATATCAGGGGAAGAAAATACAGCCTGCTCCCGGTCCAGCGCGCCCGTCGTCACCACCTTGTACGAGCCGCCCGACGACGCCACGATCGACAGAGGTGCCTCCCCCGACAGCTCGCACCACACCTGACCGTTCTCGCCGGAGTCTCGATCCCGAACTTTCAGCAGGGCCACCACGGTACCCACCGGAGCATCCTCTGGCACCGGGCTAGAC